GGCACCCTTGGTAAATATGATCAAAGAAGGCTGTGAAAATTAATCTGCATTGTTAATCCTTTTGATCTTTTATTTAAAATATTCACAAAAATCTAACCTTTCATTGGATAAAAATTTAATTAAAAGGGGGGAAATATCATTATGAAATAAATGTTTTTCTCTAATACACATTGGCCACAATTAAAGGCACCCTTTTATTCAATACTTTTTGAAACCTCCATTTGCCAGTTTAACAGCTCCAAATTTTCTCCTATAGTGCCTGATGAGGTCACCTGACGAGATCAGAGACCATTCCTTCATCCAGAATCTCTCCAGACCCTTTAGATTCCCAGCTCCATGTTGGTGCTTCTTTTCTTCAGTTCAACACATTCATTTTCTATAGGGTTCAGGTCAGGGAACTGGAATGGCCATAGCAGAAGCTTGGTTTTGTGCTCAGTGACCCATTTTTGTGTTGTTTTTGAGGTTTGTGTTTGGATTATTGTACGGTTGGAAGATCCAAATATGGTCCATTATAAGATTTCTAACAGAGTCAGTCACTTTTTTATTTTTTATCTGTTGGTATTTGATAGAATCAAAGATGCCATGCATCTAAACAAGATGTCCAGGACCTCCAGCAGAAATATAGGCCCACAACATCAAAAATACAGCAGTATATTTCATTGTACACATATGGGGTACTTTTTATCCCGGTGTTCACCAAACCCATCTTGAGTGTTTGCTGCTAAAAAGTTCATTTTTTAGTTTCATCTGACCATAGAAGCCAGTCCAATTTGAAGTTCCAGTCGTGTCTGATAACTGAATATGCTGGAGTTTGTTACCATGACTGTATAAATACGGAGTTGGATATAGATGAATATAGAAAGATGGCTAGAGAGAGGGGAGATGGATGGATAGACATTGATAGATAGATATGGATTTAGATGGAAAAATGGATGGATAGAGATAGTCGGAGATGGATTCAAGTCATTGGATAGAGATCAATATAAATAGATGGACAGAGAGGTGATGAATAGAGATATGGATTGGTAGATAGGTTTGGTGTAGATGGATATAGATGAATAGATGGATGGATAAATAGACATAAATAGATTGATATAGATATAGGTAGATGCACATAGATGGAAAGAGACATGGGTAGAGAGATTTATATAAAGATATAGATATGTAGATATGGATGGATATTAATAGATTATAGTTAATGAGGATATGAATAGAGAAATGGATAGATGATATGGATGGATAGTTGGTTATGTATGGAGAGATGGATATAGACCATAGACTGTATAAAAACATGGACGTAGTGTCCGTGACGTAACCGACAGATATAGATAGTTGGGTATATAAATGGATAGATAAGTGTAGAAATTAAACTATATTATTTGTAGCTGTAATCTCCATGACCGCTATAAATTTATGCATACACTTGAAAAACCCAAACATTAAGTGCAAATGATTAATTAGCCTTTATGTACCCTATAGAAGAGGTGTGCAGCTCGCAGGTTTGGTGTGTGGTGGTTCTGGTCCATCAGCGCAGTGCCTCGTCGCTTTATCTGTGCTTGTTTGTTGGACTGGCTTGCTGCTGGCTGAGCCCCCATTTTCTGTCTCTTTGTTTTTTGCTCTCTCTGTGTGCTGTATGTCTGCAGGGATTTTTCACCACATGGTGCCTTCAGTCTCCTCACAGCAGTCTGGGGCCAATCTCCCAGGCCCTGGGGCCCTCAGTTCCCAGCAGAGGCATCTGGACACGAACCCCAAACCGGGGGCCTTCCCCTCCTGAATGTGTCCTCCGCTGTCCCGTCCCAACCTTCCTCCCCATGTCCCGAGTGCCACCAGTCCTCAAGGCCGCAGTCGTCCCTCCCCGCTTCCACCTCCTCCCCGTCTCTGGCCGCCACATCTGCTTCCGCCACCTCCTCCGCTTCCTCCCGGCCCTTCACTGTGCACTATCCCCAGCATCTGCCTCCTCCGCACCCTCCCGGCAGCGCAGGTTCAGGTGGGGCTGGGGTGTCTTGGAGGACTCTGGGTATGCAGGCGTCCTACACAGCCTCGCAGATCCCCAGCAATCGCCCCAGATAGCACACGTCCGGGCACAGGAGGGTGGGGGAAGGGGGATTTGACATGGAAATAGACTATTACTAGACGGATACAGGGAAGCTACTGCGCTCTGCCAGCTATGATCCCAACAAGGTATGTGGTGTTGGCATGGAAATAAGCAACACGCTTTGATGCTTTTCTTTTTTTTTTTCCGTAGCTGCATTTCCTGCAAGTTCTTTGGGTTTCAGAAACCAGCTGTTATTTTATTATCTGACTATTTATGTCAGAATTGCCATTTTGTTTGTCTTTTGAAAATATCATTACATGTTCAGGGTTCAACAATGTGATTTCTACTTTTACTAGCCCACAAAAATTATATTTTATTTTACATTATAGTAATACACAGAATGTATTAATGTAGTTTTGTAAGATGTAAGATTTTGAAAATATATATATTTTTTTATTAAATGTTTTTTTCCCCTGTCGAAAAAGGACATTTAAAATGGCTAATTTGGATATTTTACTGTTTTCAATTAAATAAAATGTTGTAGTAATTTTATGAATTAATTTCATAAACATTTTTGCTGGATTGTTTATTGTGCAAAATTGGATTGAATTCTCTCTCTCTCTCTCTCTCTCTCTCTCTCTATGTGTGTGTGTGTGTGTGTATA